AAAGGGGTTACGCCAATCTGCCCCTCCTGCTCACATCAAACACTACCGGACCCCCTTTGTTAACGGGATAAAGTATTCGTTTAGGGTAGAAAACAAATACCAGGCACCGAGATTTGTCAAGGGTATCAGGTCCTGCGCTCAGCCCGAGGTCAGCCCGATGGAGACAGACATCACGAAAGGAAGTTAAACAATCAAAGGCTTTTCGACAGAGCCTTAATCGCTCCTTCCCATCCCGTTTGCAGCCCTGCTTTCACTCCAACTCCGACGCCGTTCGCGGTGCCCAGCCGCGTATCAGCGCTGCTGGCAGCCTGAGAGCCGCCCCCCTCCCGCCGCGCCTCCCTTCGCTCCTCCGGGGGAGGCTCCCAGCGGAGGCTCCCGGGAACTGCGGCGCCTCGCCTCGCCTGGCAGCCTCTCTCCTGGTCCTCCAGACGGTGAGACGCGGCTCGCTCAGACCCACCTGCCTGCTTGCTTGCTGCCGGCGAGCCTCTGCCCGCAGCCCGCGCCCTCCCTCCCGTCCTCTTGCTCCGTCTCCGAGGCAACGCGGCGCCGCTCCCCTCCCTCCCTGACCAGACGGGGGGCCCGGCTCAGGTGACCGCGGGCAACCAATCAGCGGCCACACGTGCCCCGCGGCGAGCAGGCGCGCGCTCCCTCTGAGGCGGGGCTGCGCGGGCGAGGCGGCGGCGGGAGCGGCGGCGGGGTCGCGTTAGGAGGGTGTCGCGTGCTACCGATAGCTGCCGCCGCCTCAGAGGGCGGGCGGAGCCGTGCTCCCGCCTCGGTGATGTGCTGGTGCTGTTACCAGGCATCGAAGGGGAAAAAAACAAACCAACTAAACAAACAAAAAAATAGCGCGGATGCTCTTCACCTCAGGATCAGTCCTAAGCACTGCTCGGCTTCTTGTTGCACTGAACAGGCGGGCTGTACGCAGCCAGGCACCACGTGTGGCTGCAGAGGTCCTCCAGTGATTCCCTGCGAAGTTCTCCCCACAGCGCTTAGGTGGGGTTTTCTTTCCTGCTAGTTTAGTCTGAAATGTTTTGCCATTCTGTAGGCAGCCAAGCTGTGGCGTAACGCCAGGCACAAGCTCAGAAACCCAGCCCTTCACAGAGAAGAAATCGTTCATATTCACTAGAAAAGATGTGACTTACCACCACTTGTATGGTGAATTAGGAGCCGGGCTGGCATTAGCGACGCGCCAGCTTTGGTAAAACCAATCTTGTGAAACAATCTTGCAAGGAATTCAGATCAGGAGTTTTAACTTTGAATTAAGAGATTAACGCTAGCACCATTAACTTTGATTAACGCTACCGCCGCAGTCCAAGCAGCGCTATGGGTACGCTGGGAAGTGAGTGGGGCATGCAGATGGTGAACAATCAGATACACGTGGCAAGAAAGTGTTTTCAAATAAACCGTTTTGGGGAGTTTTTCACAGAGATAAAGTTTTGGAATTCGCCTGCTACATGGACTTCTATAAAACAAGTAGTGCCTGTTGTAATACAGCAAGTTGCTTGCGAAAAGATAAATGGTTGCAACAAAATGAGTTGTTCTCAATTAGAGGAAAAAAAGAGCTAACTCAGAATTCACAGGGCTTTTTATTTAATTATCTTTTAAAGGGCCTGCAAAGACGAGTTCTGTTTCAGGCCTGCTGCCAGAAGGAGCTCTGTGAAAGGCTGGAATGTCTGCCAGGAATGGCACATTACAGCAGCGGCGGTGCATCTGTTGTGCATGGCAGCTGCTGTGCAGCATTGGGCTCTCTGCATCCTCTTGGTATTTACAGGCAGCTGCTTTGAATGTTAGGGTTTGTGTGGACACCTGTAAAACACACTGCACGAGTTCTTGTTGGAGTCGCTCTGTGTTTCAGGTGCTCGTTTTAAAGGAGTATAGTTACACAAGTGTATTAAAACATCCCAGAGCTCTTAAAACATTGTCTGAACACTGAGGACTACCACAGAAAGAAGCATTAAGACTTTCTCATCACACAGATGTTTACTTCCGCGATGAATTAAGAACAATGAGGGTGATGGAGTCTGGAATATTGAAGTGTGTTTACGACCCTGTTGGAGCATGTAAATGAAAATGGATGGGTTAATTCCATGCATCACTGAAAGATGATGAAAATTGCAGGCCTTCTCTTTAGATTAGGATATTTCTTCTACAGAAATGGAAGTCAGCGGAGAGATTCTCAGTAGAGAAAGCAAAGAAGAAGTATTTGGAAAGTAGTTTTCAGTTGACCGCTTTGATAAGACTAAGTTACGTGACATATCTGATGTGGAAGAAGAAATTGTACAGCAATAGGAAGTTGTTATCTCCATATCTCAAATGCTAACACAGCTCCCCCAGTCAACTGTGAGATAGATCTACTCTTGTTATGACAGCTGTTGGAAACTGATGTCAGTATATCTGTACAATGTCTTTTGATACTCTTAACTGTTACAAATCTTAAAGTATGTTTATGATGTTATCTAAGACACACTGTTTGGAAATGGCTCTATTTATAATCAGAAATTGCTCGTGCTTTTTTAATAAATAAATTACAGACTAGTCTGATTTTCTTGAACTTTTTCTTTCTGAAGACTTAAGCCAGAGGATTAATTAATGTTTATATAGCACTTTGTATACAGTCGTAAGCGCCAAGAATTATTATTATTTAATCTTTAAAAGTCAGACCAATGAAAAATCGAACCGTCAGAGAGCTGTTTTTTAAAACAACAAAAATGCTGAAAATCCCCTGCTTCCTGCCCATGCTCCCCCCTCCCCCCCCCCCATATATCCAACTCTGCTTTCATTTCAGTCTCACATACAGACAAAGAAAGATATTTTTCAGTTTAAATAGGTTAACGCCCATCTGTGGGGACTTTTTACATAATGAAAAAAAAAAAAAAAAAGAATTCTTAAATGCAGTTCTAGGGCCTGAAAGTTGCAAATATGTTAATGTTTAAGTCTACCAACGTAACCTATCTCATTAGCAGTGTTACTTCTATGAGCAGCTTTATTCATCTGTGTGATTGTAGGGTCAGATCCTTACAGAGATAATTTAAATGTATTTTACTTGTAGCTATTTTGACTCCTGGGGAAAACTAAAAAAAATCCCTTCACTATGTTTTGCTGCTGTTCCCCCCCCCCCCCCCCCCCTTCTTTCTCTTCAGCAAGGTAAGGTTTAGAATCACTTTTTCTCAGGAAATAAAAAATGTACATGTTAAAACACAAGCAGCAAGAAAGAGGAGATTGGAAAGGTGAAGAAGCTCATCAGTGAAGTATGGGGCTGGTTAATAAAATTAATGTTTCAAACTGTCTTTTCAGGGTTACAGGAACATGCTTTGGTACATCCTGAAAGAAAAAATTCTAAACTTTGCTTTGGCTGTGCCCTCAACAATATTCTTCCTTGATAGCTATATGCACTTTATTCATGCAGTGCTAATTACTTTCCTGAGAGTGTAATTGACTTGTTAAGTTAGAATATGAATTAATTGGTGGTGTAGAAAATTAAATGACACCAAGTCAGGCCTGGTCTTCATCTGTGTCTGGCGTATTATCTCTTGATATTAAGTAAATTTTAGATTTATGTATACAAATATACTTCTAATTCGAATGAATCAAAGTTTTCTGACTAATGAAAGATGGCTACAATCATCTGGAAGTGCTGATAACTTAATTTTATTCATATGTGAGCAGACTGTGAAAATTTGATTTTGCATGTTGCTGTAATGTATGTGGAAATAGACATGAAATATGAACATCCTGAGGGTCCTGGACTGACACTCCCCGAAGAATGGTGTCATAACAGTGCTTAATAGCTACTAGTTATGCTTACTTTTACTTGCATTTTGTTAATTAAAAATATATACTGAAGTCTTACACACATCTAAGTTTAGATATAAGCACAGATACTTGAAGTCAGTGTTTCAGGAGAACTCAATATCCACCATTAAGACCTGGTGTTCAGAGAGCTCACTGTCTGGGATGTTGAACTTCTTTGCAAGTCTGGCCCCAATTATGGGTTCTGAGTTCTTCTGAAAATCTAAATTATCTTTAAAAACCTGCAGAAGAAACTCAAGTCTTATTTTCAAATAATCCTGCTCCAGGCATAGAACCACTCACAGATTTGGCCCATACTCACAAAAATTCTGGTCTTTAAAGGGCCAATGTACAGTGAATAATCCCAATTCTTCTAATGATTCTTTACAGTGAATTTCTGAAGTACGTGTCTTCTATTATCTTGGAGTACATATTTGTAATGTGAATTGGAGGAGCAATGTAAAATGTGAAGTAAAACTGCTTCACTGAAATAGTAGGAAAGCTTTCCTGGAGTTCTGCAAAACCAGGTGTTTGCTCTAGATAAGCTAAAGATTTCTTTAATATCCTTATTAACATACCATAAAAGAAACATCTATCATCATGTTGAAATGTTAATTTTGTTATCAAGATTTCTTTTTGTATTTCATAGTTGAACTAACACCTCTTTTATGTTGAAATTTGAAAAAAACTCCATTTTTGTATATAAGGATGTGATATTTATAAATACAGTTCTAATAACTGGTGAAAGAGGACACTTTTTAATCTCAAGAGTGCAACCAGTAGGATAAAAAGTGTTGCTTGAAGAAGGCAGCCTTTAACAAATACACAGAGAGAAATAAATACACAATGTGTAGGAAATAAGGCTGGTCTTTTCTTAGAAAATAAACATTCCCCCAAGTCCTGTAATGCTCGTATTCAAATATCACTTTACAAAACTACAGACAGCTGAAATGAGCAGTGCACACAAAAGTATTGTACACCCACCAATAGTGAAACAAATTTGATTTAGCTTCAGTTTTCAAATGCCAGTATATTCTAGATATTTTTAAAAAAATATAGTTCTGCAAAAGTTACAAATAGAAATGGCACATAAGTTATATATTTTAAACCATGTGCACTCAGTGCTGTGCAGTATTACTGCTTATGTGAACTTTAAAATCTCTCAAAGTCTGGCAAAAAGAAAACTGCAAAAAAAGTACAAAATCCAGTACCTGTTTTATGATGAAGTCTTCCAGTGCCCAAGCTTTCTGCAACTTAATTTCACACTGCCAGAGCTTCTGTATTAAATGCCTTTACCTCCTTAAAAAAAAAAAAAAAGAAGAAGTATGTCAGCACAAGCCCAGACGAAACTCCAAATCCGGGAAAATAAAATTAACCATGCAGATCAAAGGCAGACGAGCACTGAGACCAAGTGCCTGTAATCTGATCAGTGATCAGTTGCCATACATCAAAGGCAGTGCTTTGGAGAGGAAAAAGAACTCTTTTTTTTTTTCTTCTTTTTTTTTTTTTCTTTCCAGCAGGTAGCTGTGCTGCTAAATTCTGCCTTTCAGTACTCCAGTTCTTTTGTTAAAAATCGATCACTGGTTTCTTTCCCCCTTTTCCTTTCTTGTGCTGGGAGAATGCACATGATTCTGACATGCTTGCAGTTGAGTGGCTGGATCTGTAGCTTTTTTGAGTTCCCAAGCTGTGTTGTGGATTGTGTGTTGGAAGCTTTCCCCAGTGCCAGCGGGTTCCGCTTTATCCCTTTCATCTCACTGAGCTGCAGATCCCATGACATCATTCAATGCTGTGGGACTGGTTAGAGAGCTATAATACAGCCTGTGGGGGAATTCAACTAAAGAGCAACAAGAGTTTGCATGATTTCTAATCGGGTTAGTCCATTGTAACAAACCCAAGGCTCACTTCAAAGTTTGCATTACGTTAAAGTTTCCTCCCAAGAAGGCAGAATAGTGTAGCTATATGGATTTCTCAAAAAGATGCTTTATAATTTGGTCTGCAACAGGAAGTTACAATTTTTCATAAAGCTCTGGAAGTCAAACATGTAGGTCAGTTTGCTAGGCAGCTGTAACAGATGACAGAAAGCTCCTCCTGCTTATCTCTTTGTAGAGGTTTGCAGAGGAGGAAGCGGTGTGTTTTATGCACTGGAATTGGTGTTTTACTTTGGTTTTGATTTTGCATTGGCAAAAGCAAGCACAATAGAGCGTGCTCTTACTCCCTGGTTTGTGTGTTCACTGCTGCTTACTGTGTGGCCTTTGCAAATCATTTATTTCAGCCTGGTTCATCAGTGGCTTATGATTCCTTTACAGAAATGAGCCATAAAGCCACTGTAATTAACCCTCAGTAGGTTTTCGTTGTGAAAGAGCTTTTTTTTTTAGGTGGGATAGATTCAAAGTGGTCACCATTTGCTGTCAGCAGAAGGAGACCTTGAGGGAATAAAAAGCTATTGGCATCCCCTGTTCTGCTGCAGTTCAGAGCCCCAGAAACTGCTGGAGAATCCTGTGCAACCACGGGAAAGCAGGAGAATTCTCAACACAGGGCAAATACATAGGAAATGGGCAACAGAGCTGCATTTATTCTGGTTGAGGCAAAGTTAGCTTTTGAGGCAAACTTAGCTTTTGGCATAGGGAATAACTCAGCTCTCTGTGCTTCAGCTGCTAATAATACATGCAAATATCAAGCAGAATGGCTTTTAGGATAACTAGTCATACTGAAGATATCTCTGCAGTTCCTGTGAGCATATACCCCATACTTTGAGTGTACCACATGTGCAGATGAAAGTGATATTAGCACGTCAACTGGTAGCCATTGCTAGAGCCCTGAGAATACTTGCACACTGAGTTACTGAGAAGTCATTCAAATGGCAAAAGTAAAAAAGAGGAAATACGGTTGCACTGAGCATTAAAAACAGAAGCAAACCACAAGTAGATAAAAGAGACGGCACAGCTGAGTGTGAGGGTGCTAAAGCAAATGTCTGGATGCGATTCCTCACCCCGCGTCCTGCCTGAGGCTGGAGCCTCCTGCCCTGGCCCCTGACCCCCTGGCAGCTCCTGCTGCTCCCCGCACAGCTCAGCCTGCCTCCTGCTCCCCTCAGCTCTCTGAGTGCTGCCGCCGCTCTCGGTAGCTGAGGGAGCCTTCTGCTGGCTGCCTGATGTACTGTGGGCAGCTCCCAGCCGGGGCTGAGCCCTGCGTGCCCCTGTGATGAAAAGCACTTCCAAAAAGATTCTTGTAAGAGGTGCACTGTAATGCTACTGGTTGGACATGATTTAAATACTGTTTGGGATCAGCTTACCAGGTAGAGCTTTGGGGGATGTTCTGGGAATTGGGGTGGAGGAGAGTTGTTGCAGGTGCAAACAGTACATGCAGGTAATGAATGACTTTCAGGAATACACTGTTGGCAAAATATGTAAACAAACCATCAATTTCTGTCTGAGTAAAAGAAGGTTATTTGAGCTGCTTACTTCTATTCTGAAATTAATTTGCACTCTTCTGACATACAACTCAATGGAAGATTTCTTGATAACAATCCATTTGTTGCTTTCATGATAAAACTGGAATTGCTTATGTCGAAATAAAACATGCAGGTGAGCTGTAAATAACAGAAATAACTCTTTTCTGTTCATTTCAAAAGGAGCTTTTCTTAAGAACAGCACTCTTCACAGAAAGCACCTCTTAGTTCTCTGAGTTTTCAATAAGAGCAAGTCCTGAAGGTCTGGCAGAGGTCTTTGATCTTTCTTTTGTACATATCAAAAAGAGAAGTGAGGTTAATTATTACCAATTTAGCCTTTAAAGCTTAAGCATTACATTTTGTCTTTATGACACTATTTTTCTCAGTGGAACCTGGCAGGTTGAGAGATCTGCCATTTCCCATTCTATGATTTCTTCAAAATTTGACCAGAAATGTGTAGTAATAACAATAACAGTAAATGAATATTTTTCCAAGGGTTGATAATTATCTTCTCTCTGTGTGTGAAATGAGGATAACATGTATAACATGTATACTGTGATTTGTAAGGCACACAACAGACACGTACCAGAGTCAGAAGCAGAATCTGCATAATGTGACACTTGTTTGCACCTCCTGATCGCCAGCTCCGCTTCCCCCTGAGGTCAGTAATCCAGGAAAGCATTCAAGCACAAGCGGTCTGATGAAAATCCTTTAGACTACTCACTACACGTTTGATCATAATCACTGAAATGTCTGGGATAGAAAATGAACTAAACTTATTGAAACTGAGTATTCAACTTCTGGTTAACTTCTTAGGGATCTAAGAAATGCTTCTAGAAAAAGTTCTTATGTTATCTCTGTGTAATCAGAGCAAGAGGTGTCTCTGCAGAGGGAGATGCTGCCTTCAGCATTTGAGGAAGACATTGAACTTTTCTAAACTTCGAAGGACTCTTCCCTGAGAAATATTCAAATGGTGTTGTTTTATTTTTATCCTTTTTATTTCTACTCTGTTAGGACCTCAAGCTAGTAAGGAAGTTGCTTCATCTTTCTCCTAAGGATCAGGCAAGAATTAGACAAGGCACGTCAGTTAGGCGGTTGGATCCCATTATAGGAGTTTCTAGGAAAAACAAACCAAGCTAAGGCTTCTATTCATGTTCACAGTATTGGATCAAAGCCACAAAGGATAGTCAGCTGATAGAAATGAACTTTTTAGAGAAGTTTCTTAAGTATAATGATTTTTTGGAAAAATTCTTTGAGGGAAAAGCAATCAAAACTATCAAAGAATCGCCAAAGGCTGCACAACCTCTCGTCCTATAAAAATGTCCTGTTTATAAAAGCTCTTATCATATAAGTAATGTACATACTGTATCATACGTGTCAAATGCTTTACCATGCTGTCTTCCATCACTTCACTGCACTTCTGTCTCCTTTACTTCAGTCCATAATAATTCCAACAGGTCCAAAGAAGATGTCAGAATCACCATAGGGAATGCAGTGCCAACTCATTTTGGCCAACTCAGTACCATGCAGTCATCATTTGTGCTAGCCACAACCTTTCAAAGTGTGGCGTAGACACTGAATATGCTATCACAAATGTCAAGTCTGCAGCATCAGAGCAGCTGTAAACTTTCATCATGTACAGATATATAAGGGGCAGTTGCATATAGATGATCAGCTATGGTCTACCTATTTGAAGAGATAGAAGTCTATTTTCAGAGCCTTTTGTGCCAGGTCAGCACTGGCTCTGAAGCAGCAGTTGTCATTTTGGGTCACAGATGTAGTGAGAAGTGTTGATCATCATCCTTCTAAAGTATTAAAGGGTTATCATTCCATGAGACTCATCAGTCCTGCGGTCAGGAGAGATGCTTTAGAATGCACAGCCCATGCTCCTGCATGATTTGTGCTGCCATCCCAACGAAGGCTTTATCAGTAGTACCTGTTCCTACTCCCCCAGCACATGTTGCTGGCACAGGTTTTGCTGATACTTACTCCAATGCTTTGCGAATGTGCTTACAATGACCTTTACAGTGGGAAGGTTCGTAAGAACATCAACTACAGCACTTTAGGCAGAAAACTCAAGACCTCTGTCTGGCTCACTTGTCATGCAGTATGTCATCAAACTTACCATTACCTGCAACACTTTGCACAGCAACGTGTCTGAGTCAATACCAGCTTTGAATATAGCCCTGGCAGTTTCTGGCTATATGACTATATTCTAGGGAAAAATACCTATATGCTATTTATATATATTGCACAGATAGGTCACGGGCCACATGACTTATGAGATGCTTGGCATTGTGTCTCCTTGGTCCTGAATTTTCTTCATTGTTTCCCTGTGGGTTTTTTGTTTGTTTGTTTGTTTGTTTTTCCCCATGACTCTTTATACAACTCAACTTTGGTTTCCTTATGAGTAGCCTAAGATCTAAGCAAAATGGAGGCTTTTTGTTCTTGGCTTACCATGTGAATCACTATAAGGGAAGCCTCAAGGGCATTTCCGCAGGTAGATAATGCAGATGGTTGGGAGTTTGGCTTTGAGGTTGTCCTCAAGGATAATGGAGATGCGCCCTGTAGGAAGTATTAGTTAATTCACCTGCGATTGGGAGTCAGAAGTTGTGGTTTTATTCCTGGTTCTATCACATGAGTATTACTTGAGGCGAGTTGCTCTTTCTCACTGGATCTGATCCTTGGTTGTGTAAGTTAAAACTAAATCAAAGAAGATACGGCATCTTAAGCTGTACGCCCATCCAGTCCTCCCTGGTATATTTTCCTATGTCTTTAAAAACTATGTAAAGATAATTATTTGTAATACTGTAGTTCACATAATGCAAAACAATTCTGTGTGAATTCCAAACCAAAAGAAGCTTCAAAAGTCTGCATTTAAAGGGAACTGTAAGTGTCCCTCAGGCACTAGTGCCCTTCTCATTACACTGTGCATTCACTTCACACGGCCTTTAGCTGTCACATACACCCAAGAAGTGAATTAGCAGCATAAGAGAGTTGTGTCTTTGTAATTGTTCCTCAGGATTTAATTAAGTAAAAATAGGAAACGTCTTTCCTCAGTTACGCTGGGCTTCTCACTTGTACTGAAAATGGTCCACTGTGATTTTCTACTTGTTCTGCTGACTGAAGCTCTGTACCAGCATGCAGACTTCAATCACTTATCATTCTTTTCAGCAGTGCTGGTTAGGTTGTATCAAAGAGCTGACTTCCCACCAGGCTATTGGGACTTGGTCAGCACTGTTGTTCATGGAGTTAAAATGCTAGAACTCTGATTTTTACTTCTGTTTAGAAGACACTGTATTTTCTGTCTGCTTAAAAAAAACC